CGTTGAATGTGTAATGACACTCCCTTCTGGCTGCAACGTTTCTGCAGAGAAATCACCTGATTGCCTTATGAGTGTTCCCTGATATTTGACTCTTTGTTTTTCTCTTGTTGTCTCTTGCCTCTCTTTGACTTTGGCCATTTTAATTATGATACTGTCTTGTGGGTCTGTTTGGGTTCATCTTATTTGGGACCCTCTGTGCTTCTTGCACCTGGGTATCTATTTCCCTCATTGGATTTGGGGACTTTTTAGCCAACAGTGGCCACCACCATCCCACCCCGGCTCTGTCCCAGCACCAGGTTGCCTCTGGTTCCGTGGTCTTGACAGTTCCAGATCCACTGCTCTGCTGTGGCATGGACTGAGATGGGCTGGAGCTTTAATTACGTTGTATAACTGCATATTCTCCCTTCAATTCACATGGCAAGGCAGATGTGAGAAACTCAGCTGCCACTAGCACAGATCTCTCTTTGCCCTGCCTCAAGGGCCAGCCAGCATGTATGCACTCCTCATAAACAGGGTTCAGGCTTATTCAACCCTTTTATTTGTTTCAGTGGTCTTCCAACCAATTAAGGGGGCTTGTCTTCTCTACCTAAGACCCCAGGACCGGGACGCCCAGTCTGTGGCTCGACCTGCTTATTCCCCAAGGCAGGTGTAAACCCATGCAATGTCATTTTTCCTCTGAGTCCCCTCCCAGGGACACAGGTCTCAACCCAACCACATTTCTTCCCTTCTAATCTGATTATGTGTGTATCTTTCTTACAGCCTTGGTTGTACAGGTGTCCTCTGTTAGTTTCCCATTAGTTTTCAGTGAGAACTGTCCCACATGTAGATATATTTGTAGAATCAGGACTCTGCCCACTTTTTGACCTTTTATGGTCAGCCTCTGAACTGCCATGGCAACTGTGGGAGGGCCGTTTACAATGTTAATATATTACAATGAGTGTCTAATGAAGCTCAAATTCTACTAGAAGTCAAGTCTCCTGCCATCTTGGGCATTTTGAGAGTTGAATTTTCTGCCACCTTGGTGTTAATTGCTGTGTCATTTCTTGAATGGCTGTGCCCTGCCCTCTTCCTTCCTGTCTCAATTATATATATAATATATAATTAAATATATATATATATATTTCATCATGAACAGAATGTTGATAGAAATATAAACATTAAAGGTGTTTCTGGGGAAGTCTCAGAAGGATGTAAGGAACATGTATTGGAAACTGGAGGAAAACCAGCCCTTGTCACAAAGTAGCAGAGAACTTGGCCAGATTGTGTTCTAGTGTCTTGTGGAAAGCAAAATGTGTAAGTGATGAACCTGGACATTTAGCTGAGGATATTTCTAAGCAAAATGTTGAAGGTGTGGCCTGGTTCTTCTTGCTGCTTATAGTAAAATGTGAGAGGGGGATAATTGAAAAAGATATTATTATGCAAAAAGGAACCAGAACATGAAGACTGGAAAATTCTCAGTTTATTCATATTGCAAAACAATGAGAAAGTGTGTTCAGGAGAGAACACCAAGGATGTGGCTGGATGATCTTTACTAAAGGGTTTGTGGAGTGTAACGTATGGATCCAGTTGTTACCAGAGTGCAGGTTCCTGTCTTGTGGCAGAAAGAATTCAGTGATGAGACATGGAGGTCAAGAAAGTGAAGTGAGGATTTATTAAGTGATAGGACACTCTCAAAGGAAGAGCGGGCACTCATGTGAGTGCTGTGCTGACTTCTTTGGTGAGCTGGTTACACCGGGTGTAAAAATGAATGGGCAGAATATTCAATGGGGAGGGCGGGACTGGGGGGGTCTTATTTCCTGATTTTCTTCCCATCTCCACTCTCCCAAGAGAGGGAGGAATTTTTCTCTGTATTTAATCTGGATTGGGTGTCATGGCATTGGTGCATGATGGGTACTTCTAATCTGCAAGGATAGTTTTATTGTAATGAGGGCACAATGAACAAAACGTTACATTCAGATGCTGGAGATTCCTGCCTTTTCCCACCTTTCTCTCTCTGCCTCCAGGACACTTGTCACCCCAAAATGTGTGACTTCTCAGTCAGGAGGCTTCTGCTTTCCTCTGCCCAGGATGTGTGCTTTCCTGCCACATGGCCCGTGCCCCCTTTCTCTGCTCATATCCAGCGGTCGGCCTGCTCTAATGCAACCAACCATCTCAGCAGAACCGTCAGCTTGGACTGAAGATGACAGAGCTGGGATGAAATGAAGAAAGGCTGTCAGACTTTTGGGATTCAACAGGCAGAAAACAGGATAGAGCTGTCTGGACGCAAACATACCTCATCCTTCGAGTACAGGGAGTATGACTCTGAAGGGGGGACAGAGATCGTCAGGGCTGCTTCTACCACCATGGGTCCAGAGGGGACAGGCCCAGGCAGCAGGGCTATTTCCTCACTGGTTCCAGAGGGTCTGGGCCCACAGTCCAGGGAGGATGGGCCAGGGCAGTGCTGCCACTTTTGTTGGTCCAGAAGACACAGCATTGAGCCAAAGAGGATTTCATTCTTGAACCTTAAAGTCTAATGGAATTTTCCACAAAAGTTTCTTAAAGTTAGCCATATAGATTGATGTCTGTAGACGTGTGCTGTGGAAATATTGTTCTAGTGCTGATGCTGATATAATAAACTAAATCTTTGAATAAATTAAAAATCTAATGGAATTTGCCCTGCTGTGTTTTTGGACTTGCTTAGGACCTGTCACTTTTCTTCTCTCCAGTTTCTCACTTTTGGAATGAGAATGTGTATCCTATACCTGTCCCACCGTATTTTGTATTTTGGAGGCAGACAAGTTGTTGTCATAGGTTCACTGTTGGGAGTACAATTTTGCCTCAGGATGGCTCATACCTGTAGTCTTACCCATACCTGATTCAGACGCTGTTTAGATGAGATTTTAGACTTAGAGTTGATGCTGCAATGTGTTAAGGCTTTTGTGGCTGTTGGGATGGGGCAAATGTATTTTGCATGTGAGGACTTGAATTTTGGAGGACCACAGGGTGGAGTGTTATGGGTTAAACTGTATCCTTGCAAATTTATCTGTTTAAGTCCTAAGCCCCAGTACCTCAAAATGTGATTGTATTTTGAGATAAGAGTTTTAAAAGAGGTAATTAAGGTTGAATGAGGTCATTGGGAGTGGGCCCTAGACTGATACGATTCGTGTCCTCGTAAGAAGAGAAGACTAGGACACAGAGACACAGAGAAAAGAAAGACCATGTGAAGATGCAGGGAGAAAATGGCCATCTACAAGCCAAGGAGAGAAGCCTCAGGAGCAATCAGCCCTGCTGACAACTTGATCTCAGAATTGTGAGAAAATAAATTTCTGTTGTTTAATTTAAAAAAAGTAGCAAATTATGAACACATGCATCTATACAGATGAATCTCAAAAACATGCTGGGTAAAACTGGACACAAGAGACCATAAACTGTAACAGTTCATTTATATGAAATGCATCCAGAAAAGGCAAATTTATGGAGACCAAAAGTACATTAGTGGTTGCCCAGGCCTGTCAATAAGAATGGGGAGTGATTGATTGCAAATAGGCATGAGTTTTCTTTTGGGGTTAATGGAAATGTTATACAATTAGATTTTGTAAGTCTTACACACTTTGTAAAGTTACTAAAAATCCCCGAAGTATGATCTTAATATAGGTGAATTTTATATGTAAATTATATCTCAGTAAAGCTATGTAAAAAAATTAATGGTTGAGAAGAATTCCTTAAGATGCTATCTGTTGGATAACAAAATTCAGTGTGTCTATAATTAGGATTTCTTTCTTTTTTTTAATGTCTAGTTTGTGTGTGGGGTGTAGGTAATTAGGTTTATCAATTTTTGCAGGAGGTACTGGGGATTGAACCCTGGACCTTGTGCACGCTAGGGGTATGCTCTACCACTTGAACTACACCCTCCTCCTCACATTTATGTCTTTAACTGAGAAATGGATTACCTTTAAATAGCTGGAGTACTTCCATTCATATTGTAGTAGTATATCCACCCATTATGAATTTTTCTGTTTCATTTTTAAAAGGGCTTTGAAGCACAGCAGGCTGATAGAACGCTGGGGGCTTCTCAATATGGTTAAAATAATTTTGCATAAAAATGAAAGTCAAACTCCTGACTTTTAGAACCCACGTGTGTATTTTGTTGTAGTATAGCCCTTTTGATGTTGCTTACACAAAATCATTTTTCCCTCCTCGGCTTGCTGAGAGCAGCACTGGCTGGGAAACGACCTGGCTGAGTAAAAAGGTCGCAGGTCAGTCACTAAGTAACCGCAATCCAAAAGAACGCGAACAAATTTAAAAACAAAACAAAACACGACAACGCAAATAACCGAACCAAAGAAGTGGAAGTAATTAAAACACCAAACATTTAAAAACAGTCTGAATATTCTAATGTGTTCACCATTCAACTAATAAAAGTAACTTCAGTCAGAATACTTAAAGGGAGACAAATTCTGAGTTCCAGTTTGAACTGCCAGGTCAGCTCTCCCATCTCGTGGACACGGACGGACGACACAAAGGCCTCCAGGATCTGTGGAGAGGCGGAAGACAGACGAGGGCGGCGACAAAACGTGATCTTCAAACCAGGAATTCAAGTGTTAGGTCCCAGATGGCACTGCTCTTGGCTGTCCATATCAATTCTCTGTTCTGGTTTCCGGTCATTACAATTGGAAACCTTACTTCCCAGGGAAGGGGAAGGGGAGCCAGTAGGGGTACCCAAAAGTAAGATTCTCCGGTAAGGGAAGAGGATGGGGCGCAGCGCATCAGCTCTGGCTTCACGCGTCCCGCGTGCTCTCTCCTGCCGCCTGGACGCCTAGGTCCACCCCTCCGGATCTGGGGGCCTTTCTAAGCAACTTTCTCTTGGGATGGCCACCCGCGGAGAGACACACGGTGCTGACCCTGGCGCTCCCAC